TGAATTGGTGAACCACTCCAAATGTTCACCTTTACGTACAAAATTATCCTTTATTGTTAGAACAAGAAAATGTAATAAATTTAACAGAAAATATCACATAGGTATATTGAATTCATGTGTTTTTCTTAATCTTTTTTTATTTCTTCTTTCCTTTAAAACCTCATTGACTGTTTGTATGACCATACAACTCATTTTGGCCAAGAGTAAGTTAGTAGATATTATAGAAGCTTTAAATGTAACTGTGTTTCACTCATTTTCTCAGACCTCTGCTTCAGGCTCAAGACTTTGAGCCTTTAGAACTTTGAAAGAGTATGATCATTTTTAGCCACTGAATTTGGGTTAATTTATTTTCACAGCACTAGAGTGAATATAATGAGTATAAGAAATGCTAGACCTGAACTTCAAGTACCAATAAGAACTCAAAAAAAAAACTTAAAAGAAATAATAGCACTGTACACTGAGAGATCCTAGCAATATTGATACCATAAAAGCAATGAGCACATCATGCCCAGATGTTGGTCTCTACCATTTTCCAGTAAAAGAAGTTTGGGCTTATTTAAGAATGACAATTTCTGAGACAAGTAAACTGCCTGGAAATCTTGAAACATCTCCATGTGCCAGAATATAAGGTTAATGGGGTCCTAAAAAGAACATAGGAGTTTACTTGAAGAGCTTTCTGTTAGCCAACTTTGAGAAAATTTGAACATCAAAAAGATAATGGCAGGGTTCATTGACTCATGCTTGTAGAACTAAGGAGCTGAGGTAAGAGGAATGCCTTATATCTGGGGCCATCCTGAAATATATAGTTTATTTCAGGCTAGTCAAAAAGAATAATGATGGTAATAGATTGTAGCAAATATAATAAAGAAAGAATACATGAATTCATAATCACAGTAAAAAATAATTACTAAAAGGTGAAAGTGAGCTTCTACTTTCACACAGAATAATATTGGCTAATAAACATAAAAGATTCAATAAAATTAATTATAAATTTAATTAGAAACCATCCTGTACCATTTAATATTTGTAAAGAAATTGAATGAATAATAAAAACCACTAGGTGAAGGTTTGTTGAGAAATAAAACATTGACATAGTATTTAAGTTTACCCTGCAGATTGTTAAGAAAGTGGAATTTGATAACTTTTGTAATAGAAGTTTTGAGTGTCTCAATCTTAACCAAGTGATCAAAATTAGAACAATCAATAATAGGACAGACTGGCATATCAAGTGTCCTTTGATGCAGTGCAGAAAGGACACATATTCTACTTATCTAATGAGAAGTCATTCAAATTTAGAATTTCTGACCTTGCTGTACCATACATATTCTGGACTTTTAAAGATGTCAGTGTCACAATGGATGAAAAAGAGCAAAGACTGTGAATCTAATTTTGGAGTTGCTTTTTAATTTTGCATATGTATGTATGTGGGAAGTATATTATGTGTACAGAAACCAAAAACTTATATTAAGTATCTTCCTTTATTGTTCTCCACTTTATTATGAGGCAGGGTCTCTTGCTTACCCTGAAGATAACTAATTCTGGCTAGTCTAACTAGTCAACTTGTTCTAGAGATACCCTGTCTTTGCCTCCTGAGAGTTGGGATTATAGATGGGCTAAATATCCATTTCACATTTACTTGAGTGCAAAGGATATGAACGGCAGCCCTCACATTTGTGCAGCAAATGCTTTATCCACTGAACCATCTTCTCAGCTCTCTATTTTAGATTTAAGAAAATTTAAAAATGATTCAAGAAATACAATATATGATCTTTTATTATATTCTAAATAGTAAATACTATGTAAGATACTATTATAATAACTGAAAACTTCAATTATCAGATAATATTGCATTAATGCTACATTTGTTGGGCATAATAATTGTAGTCTGTGGTATATAGAAAAATGATCCTTTTCTCAGGTTTTCAATGCTGAAATGTTTAGTATATGAAATGTTTAGTATATATGGTGTTTATAATTTCCTTCCAACTATGGAGTTGGTCTTAGCAATGCCCTTTTAGCATTAAATAAAAAAGTTCTCCTGGTCCAAAGATAATTAAAAATATGCAATAAAGACAAATTCAGACATAAAAGACCTCAAAATGGGTCACAGTGTGTTTTAAAAAAAATGTGCATAGGCTTGGGAGAGAGAAGATAAATAATAAAGAGAGTCATAAAAGGAAGTAAATGGCTTAGAAAAATAAAATGAAGTATTTAAAGAGACAGAATACAGTCATAGGTTAAAGAAGTAAAGATAATAAAATAAATATTTAAAAGTAATAGAGTAAAAATAATAAGCCACATGAAGATGGAAAATACATAAAGAGTCTGGATTATGAACTCAATAAATCAGACAGTAAAATTCTAAATAACCCAATTAAAAATGGGGCACTGAACTAAATAGAGAATTCTCAACAGAAGAATTTCTAATGGCCAAAATATACTTAAGGAAATGTCCAACTTCCTTAGGTATCAGAGAAATGCAAATCAAAACAACTCTGAGATACCTGTCAGAATGTCTAAGATCAAAAACACTAATGATAGCTTATGCTGGAGAGGATGTGGAGTAAGGGGAACACTCATCCACTGCTGGTGGGAATGCAAACTTGTACAACCACTTTGGAAATCAGTAGGGCAGCTTCATACTACAAAAGCATTTGTTCAACTATGTTCATAGCAGCATTATTTGTAATAGCCAAAAACCTGGAAACAACCTAGATGCCCCTCAACTGAAGAATGGATAAAGAAAGTCTGGCACATCTACACATTAGAGTACTACTCAGTGCTTAAAAAAAATGACATCTTGAATTTTGCATGCAAATGGATGGAATTAGAAAACACTATCCTAAGTAAGGTAACCCAGACCCAAGAAGATGAATATGATATGTACTCACTCATAAGTAGATACTAGCTATAAACAAAGGACATTGAGTCTATAATTCATGATCCTAGAGAAACAAAGTAATAAGGTGAACTCAAAGAAAAACATATATGGACCCACCTGGGGGTTGGAGACAGACAGGGTCACCTGACAGGTTTGGGAACATGGGAGGGAGGTAGAGGTAGGGGAAGAGGAGGAAGAGGAGGAAGAGGCGGGGAGAAAGGGAGGGTTGAGGAGAACTTGAGGGAATGGGATGGTCGAGATGGAGGAGGGACAGATATGAGAGCAAGAAGAGGGATGTCTTGATTGGGGGAGCCATTATGATGTTGGCAAGAAGCATGGCTCTAGAGAAATTCCCAGGAAGCCACAAGGATGGCCCCAATTAAGATCCTAGGCAATAGTTGGGAGGGTGCCCAAGCTGGCATTGCCCTGTATTCAGATTGATGATTATCTTAAATATCACCATAAAACCTACGTTCAGCAACAAATGGAAACAGAGGCAGAGTCCCACATCAGAGCACTGGACTGAGCTCTCAATGGCCAGTTGAAGAGTAGAAGTAATGAGAATATGAGCAAATATGTCAAGACCATGAGGGGTTCATCCACTTAAGCAGTTTACCTGGGCTAATGGGAGCTCACCAACTCCAGAAGGACTGGGAAGGAACAAGCATAGGACCAAGCTAGTCCCTCTGAATGTGTTTGACAGTTGTATGGCTGGGGCAGACTGAGGGGCCACTGGCAGTGGCACTGGGATTTGTCTCTGCTGCATGTACTGGCTTTTTGGGATCCTATTCTCTTTGGATGCATACCTTACTCAGCATAGTTGTAGTGGGGAGGGTCTTGGACCTTCCACAGGGAAAGATGTCTTGCTCTCTCTTCGAATTAGAAGAAGTAGGGTAGAAGGGTATGTGGAAGAGATGGGAGGAGGGAAGGGAGTGTGAATTTGGATTGGTATTTATTTTGTAAATCAAAGACTTTTTTATTCTTCTATTAGCTATGACCCTCTGTCCTTCTTTACATCCCGTTCAGTTTTAAATTTGAATTCTGTATAGTTTTCCCATTGATATTTGTCTATTTAGAAATTCACTATGATACGTTTACCAGATTACAGAGTAAAAGCATTCTTAAACTTAAAAACTAATAGAGAAATTTGCAGAAAAGTAATGAATAGCTTACATTTTTCATTCCTATATTCAGATTGTATGTTTTTGGACTAAGTAGGCCGGACAGTCAGAAGCAGTCAAATACATCAGCATTCCCCCTCTGGATTGGTATTATTTTTTTAAAAAAAATCTAATAAAAGAAAAAAATGAGACACAGTACAGACAGTCATAGATTAAAGGAGTAAAGATAATAAAATAAATATTAAAAAGTAATAGAGTAAAAAATAAGCCACATAAAGATGGAAAATACGTAGAAAGTCTGGATTATGAATATTATTGTGTTTTCTTTGAATTTTTTGACTGTGAACTTACTTTGGGTGACTGTCCAGGCAGCAAGATGTCTCTGTCAATTCTAGAGTGCTGGTAGTTTACAATGCACTTTCATTTCCTCAAATATGACTGACTTACAAGTGGTCTTATAATGTGGTAAGACATTTTAGACTTTCTCCCAACTTTCTATCTAACATGTGTGAAAACAGCATATATGACTAATAACAGTACTTACCATTTGTTGAATGTTTACTCTGTACCCATAATAACAAATTCAGTGTCTGTGGCATCAACTAGTTGAGTCTTGACTCCAACCTCCAGATTACCTGACAACATACAAATTCAGACAAAGCATTTTGTTTCATTGAGATTTTTGGACATGAGTAAAAATCTTTCAGATATAAGGCATAGATAGAGTAGTCCTACATAGCAGATAAGTGGGTCGATCTCAATTCTACAAGTCAAAACAACTTTCTGGCTCATGGTTTATCTAATCGCCCAGAGTTCAATCTTAAAATGCTAAAAGTCAATTGAAGTAAGTCACTCATTTGTGATAAGCATTGTGACAGATGCAAAAAGGGGAAAGAGCAAGAAGAAACTGAACTTGAGGCTTCTAGCAAGAATGTGGTGGTATAAATGGTGTTTGTGTCTTGTCAATCAATTAATAAATACTGTCTATCCTCTTTTAGGTTTTTCAGGGGAATCAGGATGCATCCACACCTATGGTAAATTCTCTAGACCCACCATTACTCACTCGATATCTTCGAATTCACCCTCAGGTCTGGGAGCACCAAATTGCCCTGAGGCTTGAGATTCTGGGATGTGAGGCCCAACAGCTGTACTGAGGTGGCTTCTGCATCCTCTGCTTACTACCCTTTGCCTCCTTCTTTAGTTCCAGGATTGGCTTAGTCAGTGTGTTATTGCTGTGAAGACTAACCATGACCATGGCAACTCTTATCAAAGAAAGCATTTAATTGAGGCTTGCTTATAATTTCAGAGGTTTACTCAATTATAATCATAGTGGGGTGCATAGTACCTTGTAGGCAGACATAATGCTGGAGAAGTAGTGACGAGTTGATGTGGGATTCCCTTGTATGCTGTAAATATGTTTTGATACAATTGGTTAATTTTTAAAAAAAAGCTGTTTCGGCCTATAGCAGGGCAGACTATAGCTAGATTGCAAGAGATATAGAGTGAGAGTAGGTGGAGTCAGGGAGATGCCATATAGCCTCTGGAGGAGAAAGACACCCAAAAACCTTACTGGTAAACCACAAGCCTCATCGTAGAATACAAAATAATAGAAATGGGCTAATTTAAGATGTAAGAGTTAGTTAATAAGAAGCCTGCATTAATAAACTGAGCAGTGTTTTAATTAATATAGTTTCTGTGTGATTATTTTGGGCCTGGGTGGCCAGAAACAAACAAACAGCCTCTGCCTACACAGAGTTCTACATCTGGATCCACAGACTGCAGGAAGAGAGAGAGATTGGACCTGGCATTTGAGGCTTTTTAAACCTCAAAGTCCACCCCCAGTGACACACTTTCTCCAACATGGCACAACTACTTCAACAAAACCACACCATCTAATCCTTCTTTGTAGTTCCACTCCCTGATGACTAAGAATTCACATATATGAGCCTATGAGGGCCATTCTTTTTCAATCACAAGGATATTTCCTCACCAATTCAATGCCAGCATTCCTTCTCAGATTTCCACATTCATTCTGCTGCACACTGTTCATGCCACCATTATTTTATTTAAAACCATACAATAGTATATGACTCTACTCTGAAACTTACTAAGTTATTAATTCTACATTTTCTAAACACAGAAGTCTCAACATTCATAATGGAAGCTGTGAAGCATCACACTAAATTTTATGCTTTCAGTATCAAATATACTTTATGCACTACCAAAACCAAAAAAATCTATGACAGAATCAGAACAAGAAAAATCATTAGCTTATACCCTCTTAAATAGCTCATGACTATTACCTGCATTCAACCATTCCTGACCCCCATATATTCAGCCTTCCTTGTTCTCATTCCTTCATATTATACTATACCAAAATGTACATTTGTTTACATATATACATATACTATTGGCTAGATTCTGCATAAAAGAGAGAATATGCAGTTTTTCCCTTTCTGAGACTGTGTGACTTCGCTTAATATACATTCTAAGTCTATTCACGCTCCTGCTAATTTTGCCTTCATTTGAACCTTAATTTAAAACCTAAAACACTGAAACTTTTAGAAGAAAACATAGGGTATACCCTTCAATGTATCAGGGTAGTTAAGAACTTTTTAAATCAAGCACCAACAGCACAGGAACTATCCCCAAGTATCAACAGATAGGACTACATGAAAATAAAAAGTTTCTGTATAACAAAAGAAATAATCAGCAGTTAACATACAGCCCACATAATAAGAGAAAAGTCTTTACCAGCTACTCTTCATAAAAGGATAAATATCCAGAATTTACAAAGAACCACAGAAATTAAATACCATTAAAATTAAATTGTTAATAAACTAATAGACAATTGAACACAATGCACTTTTCAAAAAATGAAACACAAATGGTCAATAACTAATTTTTAATGTTCAATATCCCTAGACATCAGGAAAATGCAAATCAAACTACTTTGAGATATCATCACAATATAGTCATAATAATTATCAACAAATCTAATAAAATATGTTGGAGGGGATGTGAAGGAAAAACATATTTTATTCACTGTTAGTGGGGACTCAAATTAATATAACCATTGTGGAAATCTATCTGGAAATTTCTCAAAAAATTAAAAATAGAACTACAATATGATTCAGCTGTTTCACTCCTGGACATATGCCCAGAGAACTCTATACCCTGCCATAGAGATATATGTACCTCTATGTTTATTCTGCTTTATTTACTATGACAAAGAATTAGAATCTACAGATGAATGGATAATAAAAATTTGGTATATTCATACATATATATTTATAATGGAATGCAGATGTGGGATTCTGCTCTGTATGCTGTGAATACCATTGGTGAATAAAGAAACTGCTTTGAGCCTATATAAGAGCAAGGCAGAACAGAGGTAGGCAGGGAAAACTAAACTGAAGGCTGGGAGGAAGAAGGCAGATTGAGGAGAAGCCATGTAGTGTTGGAAAAGGAGCAGCGGGCCGCTTCCTGTCCTGCCCAGCTCCCAGCCTCCTGGCTAGTTTACACCTGAAATAATCACACAGAAATTGTATTCATTTAAACACTGCCTGGTCCATTATATCTAGCCTCTTATTGGCTAACTCTCACATATTAGTTTAACCCATCTCCATTAACGTGTATTGCCACTTGACTGTAGCTTACCGGCATGAGTCTAATCAGCATCCTTCTCAGAGAGGAGAGCCATGACATCTGACTGACTCTGATTTCTTTCTCCCAGCATTCTGTTTGGTCTACTCCACCTATCTAAATTCTGGCCTATCAAAAAGCCAAGGCAATTTCTTTATTTAACCAATGAAAGTAACACATAGACAGAAGATCCTCCTCCACCAATGTAGCCACACCAGAGACAGACACCGGAACATTACCCAGTAAGCCACAGTCAGGTGGCAATACACAGATTAATGGAGATGGGTTAAATTAAGATGTAAGAGTTAGCCAATAAGAAGCTAGAGCAAATAGGCCAAGCAGTGATATAATTAATACAGTTTCTGTGTGATTATTTTGGGAGCCTGGGTGGTCGGGAAACAAGCAGGCAGCCTCCTACTACAGAATGCTACTCAGCTCTAATAATAATACTCTTCTAAAAGACATAGTTTTAATATATCAATAAGAAAATATAAACTTGACCCTGCTAGCTTCCCCGCCAGCCATCCCAGCTTCTCTCCAGAGGGCCTTCGGAGTGGTGAGTTGATTCGGGTCCCCGCGGGCC